ACAGCCAAGATCAGCAAGTCAAAGGCTCCCCTCGAGAGGTGACAGCCCAGCGTTTGGGGGCCCCGATCTTCCACCGCGTTCATCTTCGGTAGCTGGAGGGCGGGCCTCTCCAAGCAAGTACGATGCTCTCCCTTCGAACCCGAAAGCGAACCGCTCGACCGCCGCAAGCCAGCTCTCTACAGACTCGTCCATATCGAGCGGCACTGCTCAGCAGACGCCTGTCGTTGCTCCGTATCCAGCAGACGATGCCATGCCCAAGACGCCCGACCCTCCGCGACCCAACTACCCTGTCGACTTCCCTCCACCTCCACCCCCACCGAAACAGGAAGATGCGCTGGCAGCATTGCAAAGAGGTGGTGAGCTTGAACGCAGGGCTTCACGCCGATTTTCAGCATACCAGATCCAGAAGCATCTTGGAACAAATGGCATTCCACTTCCACCAGTGCAGAATTCGCCCATACCGAATAGGGGACGGGATGTACGCGAATCCATGAATGCAGTTCGAACGAGAGCATCCATGATGCACAACCGCCAGCGGTCGAATCAGAGTTTAACGCAACAGAGACCCGCTGTGGAAACCAAGTTTTCTTTCGATCAGCCCAACGAAAGACGCATATCCGAGGAAAGTTCTCAGAGCACCGCACCGAGCATTCTACCACCTAGAGAGAATGGGCCCGAAGACAGTCCCGTTCAAAAGACACCAGACGACAAGCTCGCACAGCCACGATTCCCGGAAAGCGATCAGCTTTCACTAGGTGCTACTTTGAACGGTCCATTATCAGAGCCGGCTGAGCTTGGATCTGCATCGCCAGTGAAAGAAGAACCATCCAGACCTACAGCCAGCCGCAACAGCTCTTACAGAGCCAAGACACCTTCTCCACAACCTTCACAGTTCATCCCAGAGCAATCGCCTCAGCAAGGAAAAGAGCTTACCTTGTTCCTTCAATATAAAAGCAAAATCAAAAAATATGTCTTCACAGACGGTGCTGAGCTCTCCTCCGCTCGGCTACAGCTTGCTTTCATCGAGAAGTTTGCCTGGGATACCCACCGTTACGGCGATCTGCCCGAGATCCACATCCAGGATCCTGTTTCTGGCGTACGGTACGAGCTCGAGGATATCCACGACATCAAAGATAGATCTGTGCTCGTCCTAAACGTAGAACAACTCGACGAAGTAAAAAGTCACATCGACGATAAGTTTGGCGGACTCAGCAAACTTGTTGAGAGCATAAAGACAGTAGTCGAAGATCAGCAGGCAACCATACAACGAGTGGCCGAACGTCAACAACAAACAACGAAGGAGATCGCTGGGATTTCCGCGGCGCCTCTCTCTTCAGCTCGCAACTCCGCACTACTTCCTTCTCGCCCTATTGCAATAGGCGCGCCTTCCCCTGACAATGTTACTTCGGCCACCCAACTTAGCGAGGTCCAGTCGCTGCGTCGTGATCTGGCAGTCGTTCGACAGACCTATTCATCATTTGTGTCGGACATACAGGCTAGCATGTCAACGATACGCACAAAAGCTAGTGCTGTCAAATCGACTGCTATAAAGGCTGCCTTGCCCTCGCTTGATGGAGACAGCGGTCGCGCTTACATCAACACCGGGAAGAAGGCCCTGCAGGACGACTCAGAGAAGATTGTTAACAGGGTGGACGACCTGCAGGATCTTGTTGAGGATCTCAGAAAGGACGTGGTCCTACGTGGTGTGCGACCTCTTCCCCGTCAGCTGGAGACTACTGCGAAGGATCTTTCGACTGCTACTGCAGAGCTCAAGAAATTGCAGGATCTCCTCGCTAAAGAGAAGCCCCTCTGGACCAAGATCTGGGAACAGGAATTACAGACTGTATGCGAAGAGCGAGACATGCTCACCATGCAGGAAGAATTGGCGGCCGATTTGCAGGACGATCTCGAAAAAGCAGCACAAACACTTGAACTGGTTGAGCAGGCGACCAAACAGCAGAATCTTGAAAGTGAGAAAGAGGCTGGAAAGGGGATGCGCTCCGCTAGTGGCCGCAACATGCTCAATGCGGTTGCTCTTGACAAAGCCGTGGATCCACGTCAGGCTCGAGATGGTGTGCTTGGCGAAGTCAAAGCCCTGCAGCCGAACCACGAAGGCAGGCTTGAGGCCATTGAGCGGGCTGAGAAGGCGCGACAGCGTGATCTTGAGACTAGGAACGATGATGAGTTCAAGCGCGAGCTTGGAAACTTTGTCGAGGAGGGCAAGCTCAAGAAGAGTGGCGGCGTCGAGGAGGCAGAGCGCCTCCGCAAAGCGAAAGACGAGCGCGCGCGAAAGGAGAACTTTGAGCGGGAAGCTGCAAGACAACGAGCCAAAGCGGAGAAACAGCAGAGAGAGGCTGAAGCCGCTGCCGCTGCCGCCGCCGCGGCAGCGACCAACGGCGACGGTGCTGAAGGCCAGAATGGAGAGGCTGAAGCCCCAGCAGAAAACCCAGAGGAGGCCAAGGCAGATGAAGGTGGTGCTGCCTAGACACCTGCCATCTATTCTTAGCCTTCCCTTTTGTGTTTGAGCTGATCTTTCGTCTTAGATCTTCCCAAAAGACAGTTCACAGTCCGTCCTTGGGTTAAGACCGCCGGTGTTCCCTTGTCGATGCAAACCAAACTTGCAGCGGCAACGGGGTTGGATCTAACAACAGGGACGACGACGTCTACAATTACGGAGAGTGACAGCCCTCTTACTTCAACCATTAGAGTGGTCAACAACGATGCACGAGCCGATGAAACCCCTTCAATATCCGAGACAGACCATGTCCCGACGTCTACGCTACTAAGCAATACGTCTGGGACCCATCGCAATATACCAATAGCTATCACATCACCATTCACATCGTGTGATAGGGATACGTCCTCCCCTATCCGCTCTTCGGTCTTTGGGCCACGACTCTCAATCTCACGAGGTGGAACGCCCAGAACCTTTCAGTCGCACCGAACACCTAAAACTTCCCACAGCTTTGGTGATCGAGGAAAGCTCAGCCTAGATGCATCGTCGCCTCGCTCACGCGGCATGACCTTCCCACACGTTTCTTCCAGGGTGATCAAATCTGGCTCGCATAAGACGTTAGACGCCAATCCGCATACGCCTGAAAACAGCAGTACAGACAGTCTTCAGGAGAGTGGCAGCGATAGAGATAGAGATGCAGATAGCGTACTTTCATTTACCCCCAGTATGGGTGGGAAGAACCTTGCGAATTGGTTTTCAGGGTTATTGGGAAGATCGTGAGCAATGTGCTCTACGTCTTCATGAAGGAGCGTACAAACCGGCAGGTCTTATCTCATTGGGAGTCCATGGGATCTGTAATATGTAATTATTGATGGTAGCATTGGTAAGGCGTTTGTGTCGTGGTACGAGATTATGCATAGCGATAGTGGCGTTGGGTATATTAGTGTGAGGGATGCTGAGATGCTGGAACGTTGAGATGTTGGTACCCAGCATCATGGTAATGCAATGGATCACGTATCATCTCGCCTGAAATCTTGTTCTTCGTGCGTACATAAGTAAGTACATCAAGTCGCCAGCCACTCTCACCGTGATTACTATCATGGGCAGTCCTGCTAGTTATCTCTGACAGTACACAGCAAGTCAGATGTATACAATAACGCTTGGTCATTTGCACAGTCTTACATAGACAGCGAGGATCTTCAGGGTGCATTTGATGAGAGAAAGATTGCAGAATTTCGCGAGAAGCTCGAGGCGGCTGAAGAAGAGAGTTCAAAGAAGAAGAACGGTAGGCTGGTGTTGAAGGGTGGGAAGTCCGTGAAGATTTACGACTAGTGGTTCGCAACTCTTAAGACGTGAGGGAGTGAATCGCAATGCATCGTCATAAAGGAGAGCGATCACGCCCTAACAAAGCTTCGAAGCGCTAAATGCTTGTTCTCCAATTGTGGTATGAAGTCCTTATGATAGCGGTGATGGAACTATTTCCTACCTTTTCATGATCTAAGAAAGCTCCCGCGGCAAAATGTCCATGCAGATAGATGAACCAGCATATCTCCTGACACACTAGATTTGAATATGACCTCAATGTCAATTTTGGGAACATACAAGGCACTTGTTCACCGAAGCAAAGGAAGGTACAAATCGGTTAGTGCATTCGGACACATCGGCATCATCTCATTGCAAAGATCTCAGAGTTCTAGATTTCGAAAGTCGTTCCTGAACTAGAAGTGGAGTGGGTAGCGAGGTAAGATCTTTCAGTTGACGATAGTAAAATTCCTGACCAGACATGCAGTTCGCAAAAATATGCGTGGCCAGGTTTTTCTCTTTCAAGTGGGAGAAGTCGAACACACGGCTGTTACGAGCGAGGACGGGGAAGAGGGTATAGAGTGGACGAGAGAGCTTCGGTGTGGGAATGAGAATATGTTTTAGGATCGCGGAAGTGGAGTTGGGCGTTGCGCAGGTGAGGGGGAGAATGAAGTGCTGGTGGGGCGTCAGGGTTGTAGTTCGTGAGTGAGGGTTGGGTTTGAGGTTGAGGAGGGATCAAGGCGTGGTGTGTGGTGGTAGCAGAAGATGGATACAAGAGGAGAGTTAGAGAAGATGTGAGTGAAAATGAGTGTGAATTTGCAATGATCTAGAGCTGATACCGTGAGAGACTGCGAGCCTTTGTCTGAATCCATGCCTCCACCACTGTACGTATCCAGCCGGTATTTAGTCGTGCCGGAAAAGCTGATTGAACGCTGTTCGTTTTAGTAGCGAAGCGAGAAATGATTACCTACTATTGTCGTAAAACCACCAGTAGCAAAAATTCAAGTACCCGGTGTCAGCTGATGGCAAGAGTCTTTGAGATAGCTCTATGCCGACTCACAGTAGACCCATAAAACACAAACATCACCCCTCTTGTCAGCCTAGGTGTACAAGCCACACTAGTTTCCAGGAGCCACCGCACGCCAATCAGTGTGAGCTGACGACGTGACTCGGGGAGGTAAGAGTAGGGTTTTGGCTCCCGGTTTTTTTTTACGGGGAAACAGCCGAAGCCAAAAACCCCGCGCGAGACAAAACATGTACACAGTAAGCAAACGGCCCCAAGGACTTACTTCATATGCTACGCCGGCGGGATCTCTGAAGTGTCGGAACCCCTCGCAAGTGTCGCAGACTAGGCTCCTTATTCTCTTCACCACCGACTCGGCAGAACTCGCTTGATAACTTCGTGGCCGTGGGCCCGAGTTGAGGCGAAGTCGTCAAGGTTATCTTGCTCGCGCAGTCGGGGCGTTCAGAGAAGTTCGTATCCGAGCTCTGAGGGGAAGGAAGGCCCAAATCTCGACGTTTGGCTTGCTTATGCGGAGGGGCTCCTGTATATTCCGTTTAGCATATGAAGGGAGTTTGAGATTTGTGATTAAAGATGCTTAGGGCAGATATCGTTTATTCAAACGAACCATCTACGCTGTCTTCCGAATCGCTTTCTCGAGAGATTTGGCTCGGACGATGATTCTCCGGAGGCTCGACGTTCTTGAGCCAGTTTTCCACGTTATCGCAAGATGTAACGCCTTGTCCGTCCTGGTCGTCATCATCGTCGTTGCCGAAATCCTCCTCCGTCCACTCAGCCGCTCCGGACATGGCAAGGACACGTTGAAGGTTCCACTGCAATGTCAAGAGGCCTGTATCTGGGAGGGGTCGCTGGACTGGATCATCGGTCGACATTGTAAATCTAGTTCCGCTGACTAGTGGAATGCGGATAGTGTCGTCGTTGGGATCAATCCGATCGAGTGGGCCGTAACCCCTGCCAGCCGAAAGTCGGCCGGCCGAAGACAAAGGTTCATCCATGATGTTCACCTCATCCTGGCGTTTGCGCCCTTCAACAACAAGCCAGTGGAACTCGAGTTCGAGTTTTGTCTTATCGTCTGACAGTTGTATCGGTCGGAGCGCAAATCGGGCAGCGGAGTGATACCGGTGCAGGAGGGCCGAGAGGGAGATCATGTTCTCCACTGTCTCCGTTCCTCGATTTGGATTATTAGCGTCCACAAACAACTTACTACGCCAACTCTCCACTAGTTCTGCTTTCCAGAACATCTTCAGAGTGTCCCAGAATCTCACCACTCGCTCCTCATTCTGGCCTCCAAGACCGCACCATGGGTAAATATGGGCGGCGTCGATTTCCGCCATCCTCGAGACCGCGCAAAGGTATCCATCCCGCTTCTTACAGTTTGACCGAACGCCATCGTGTCGGCCAACACTGTATTCTGGGCCACCAATTATATGTCCGGATCGAGTTCGCTTAGATCCGGCTAGTATATTGGCATTGAGAAGGCGAGATTTCGAGGGTGGTTGGTTGGAGACTGTCTTGGATTGCGAGTGTGTCGACGTTGCACTTGCTGCTGTCGGGTCTTTCCTTGGTTGTTTCTGGGACCAGAGTAGAATTGTGTCCAACGCTTTTCTTTCTCTGGCAAGGCGAAGATCGCGGTCCGTCAATGATTGCCTGAACAAATGGCTCTGAACCGCCTCCCGGATTACTTCGATATCGGCGATCTGGAGAAACGCCCAGGTAATCGAAGGAAATACCGGTTGGGGGTGGAGTGATTGGAGTTTCAGAAAGAGTTGCCGGCGCTCAGCGGAGCGCTCTGTGAAGCGTTGGCCATCCTCCTCTGGCCTCACGTTGGTCCAACCTTGGGCGACAGTATCCATGGGGTCGTTTGCTTGTGTGTACCTGTTTTGGGTGATCGCACAGCTTTCATAAAAATGTTATTAATAGGGGAGTAAAACTTACTAGCTGTGGTGGATAAAGAAGAAGTGTGGAAGAGTGCGTTGTGATCTTTCTATACTAGACAGTTGCCTACGCAACCATGGTTCGAGAAGGACCTAAGAAAACATGGCGAATAGGAAAGGAGCTTCCAGAACAGAACGAAGAAGTGACCACTATTATACCGTGGTCCAGGAAAGAGCTCGCGAGACAAAAAGACCAGTGCGCAGACCACTTGATGTGCTTGACCACATACCCGTTATTGGATTAGAGATCATGCGACTACCACCAGGCGATATTATTGTCTAAAGTGGACAGGTTGTGCCCGCGCTCTTGCTAATAAGGTTGTGTTCATAGTCCAAAAAAAGAAGGGGCGTCTATATCTACGACATCTGCACCTGATGCTATCCATTTGTGTTATAACCCTACCAGCTACCTAGGTATGCACTATGCTCGACCCCGCAGTCACTCAAACCACGGAGTATTGGTCCTGATGTCATTGGGGGCCACAGCTAAGGCATCTTTGGATTTAGCCTTGCAATTATATCGATTTTAAAGTTCCAAGGTTGTTTTCGTCCCTGCATGTCTCCAACGAGGACGTGAGGAGATGCTTGCCGGTCGCGAGCCGCTTGTCATCTACAGTAGACGGCACACCATCAGCGATACATTGATCAGGCTGGTCATACATCTTGACCACGGGGCAGTTCCATGGCCTCGGCGCGCATGAGAATGTGTATGTGACCACTCTAAGAGCAGTGAAGTCCAGATTGACTGTAGGAACGCCGATGCTAACGCTCTCGGTACGTGCAAGACTGGGCCTCTGTATGGCTATAGGAATCTACCGAATGCGATACACCATGCCATAGGGTTACGTATCCCTCCGTGAGCCATACATCGAACCTCACTAGTCAGAGAGTGGGCAGGCGTTGTGCGTCGGCCTGTCCCGATGTAGTAATTTACGAACACGAAGAAAAGCGCGCCTTCGTTTGCCTGCTAATACAAACAACTTGGTACAATTAGTTAGCTTTTAGTAAGCTAAGACGAGCAACAAATGTAAATGTTAATAAAGTACCTATTAGAGGAGTACCTCTAGCAAGTGATGTGACATCTCCGATAGACAAGCAATGCCTATTATGGGGTTTGGACCACGACCATAAGGGCTTCTTTTGGTCTTACTTAGATACCAATGAACAGCTTCCCGAGGTCAGCCATTACATATTATACGGTAACTAAAGGATTACCAGGTATGTCCTCCAAAGCTTCCACTCGTTATGGATTCTCTGATCAAGTGCGTAATTCTCGCAGTGTACCTAGGTACTGTTTCCGCGCGAAGATTACGAATTTGGCAGGTCGTAGCGTCGCCTACATGTAACTTCCATATATTACGAGCTATCCGTGGGTATCGACTAGGGTCTCTTTACTGACTGTGATACGCCAATCTGATAAAAACCCAATACGGTCTTGCAATACGCTCGCGCGTGGGAGATAACGATGCCAATGCTACCCACAAAGGTGCCTACGTAGAACGGTAGCTGTTCTACCACAAAAGCTCTTTTGCCCTGCGTGCCTAGGCAGATACCTACATGCACTATGCTACATCCCCAATCCGGCATCTTACTTGTTCTTTCAGCTTGAACTTGCGAGTAGTGGCACACAGGAAGGTTGACGGAGAGGTTGTGTTTTTATCAGCAGGCTGCCCAGGTTACGATGTGCGCCAAAATCATGCCAGCCAAAGGCTTGCCGAGAAGTGCGTGAGATATCGAAAGACACCCAAGCGAAAACAACGAGAAGGTCATCTCACAGCAGAGCAATGGTACGCTCACTCAGCCGGCAAGATACGAGGTGCTCCAGTGCTGTTCTAGTTGCAAGTTACTCGTCGATCACTAGAATAGCCCAGAGTAACATAATTATGCACACGTTGTGCAATACGGCTCAATGCACAACGGAATTTCGGCTCCTTGCGGACCCTCCCTATCGAATCAGAGTCATTGTGCCTCTGCCTGACCCACACAACGTAGAATTTCGCCGTTACCGCCTACCGTTCCACATTATCCAGTCCAACTTTTCGACTCTTTACGGCTCTTTACGTCATCATTGGCCCGGCAACGCCTGGTGCGAGGCTAGAACACTAGCGTCTTTCAGAGCTTTCCAGAGTCTATATAAACTGGCCTTCCTCCTGCCCTTCGTTTGTTCGGCAGCTCTCTTTGCCTTTTGGCTTAGATCAAGTGTAGTATCTGTTCTTTTCAGTTTAATCTCTGAAACTGGTCTACGGACCAATTCAAGATTATTCTTATTTTTGAAACCAGCTGACAAGTCACTGGGCTTGCTCATACTTGTCGGCACAGTGTCGCTCCTATCCGCACTATCGGGAGCTGACGCGAACCTACCTTTTTCATTAAGACTTCTGGCTTAGTCCAGTCCCTTGAGGAAGAAGTTGTGGTTTTTTGAGCCTGAACGCTTTTTTCGAACATGAGGCGGCCCTGCGGTGATATTGCCGGATTTGTGCGTCCGTGGTGGGGCAACGCTGAACGGAACCTTGAATGCACCACATACGAGGGAAAATCAAACAGGTATAGAAACAAGAAGCCCTACTACCTTGGTAGTCCCTAACAAAGGAACTTATAAAGATTAATAGTATTATAGACTTCTAGGTCTTCTTTCCATGTCTACAAATATCCTAATACGCTTTATTGTAGTAGGAAAGAGTACTACCTACGTATGCTCTAAAGAGATATTTAGTTTCTATCTTTGATATAGTGAATGCTTGCCACAAAGCTCTCTTTACTGCACATTACACTTACCACCAATCACTCTAGAAGTACTCGCCGACATGCAAGTAGAAAGGCAAGCAAGAAACAGGATACCTAGGTAACATATTGCCTACCTACTTGTTGTGACTCGTGAGAAGTGTGCCTATTACCTAGGCACTAGTCGTCTAATACGAGTCGCATACCCAAGATGAATACTACATGTCCATCCATCGTCATGTGCAAATGCTTGAGAGTGCTGCAAGTAGTACAGGCGTTCAGAGCTCCGGGGGTCCTCTTTTAGCACACCACTGACTAACAGGTTTCTTCTTCGTAGGTGACACTGATCAACCACGGAAAGCCCACAACCGCTGGCGCCAATCGTCTAGCACCTGCCTCATCTACCAGTCATGGTGGTACATGTAAGTTTCAAGGGATATTGACCTCTTACTGTCCAAGCATTCATCTGCCACAAGTACTTTCAACGAAATCCTTCTTGCTTTGTTTCACAACCCCAAATCCTTCGACTGCAGGAAGGTTTTACTCTCTTGTCTACATAAGCAAAATGAAGCGGCCTTGTTAAGATTCAAGTACGCTGTATAGTACCAGCATGTGCAACCCGATGACGGAAAGCCGTATCAAAACATGCCCGATCGCAAACTCAAATCAGTCTCATCACTTCAACCCATCTCATCTTCGACGCAAACCAAGCTCTCCACCTCTCAATTACAAACATGCAATCCATCTCTACCATTGTCGTAGCCTTCGGGCTTCTCGCCTCGCAAGTCACAGCCACGATCGCCTTGGGCAACAATGCCAATAACATCTGCAAATTAACAGCCTCGATAGATTCTCCTCGACGAACGTGTTGGGAATCAGCAGTAATGTGGATCTACAGTGACAACTCATGCAGTGGCGTCGTCATCCCCAGCTCACCTGTTAATGTATCGAACGGTTTCAATTGCAAGTACTGTCTTTCTACTGACAACTCCAATCGCAGACGCACAGTACGCCTTGCTAACGGTCCTATATACGTAGATATAGTCAGGGGTTGCGGAACCGACACATGATGAATTGACAACAATGATGGATCATTCGCCCATAAACGCGCTCGCATTAGCCCTCCTTCCAACACGGATTGCGGCGTTCAGCTCACGTGAAAGCGCTAAGCGTGAGCCCACCGTCTGAAGGCCAGATGAGTATCTTACTAGTCAATTGTTACCACAAACTACGATGGATACAGTCTCTACACTTGCCTTTCTTTGGATTGTAGCTTTTCTTTGACGCAACTGTCTCTAGTGTTGGACCAGGCATCATCGTTATCATCATTTCGCGATAAAGTAGGAAAAACTTTTTCGGAAGACCCCAAACGCTATTCGGCAGACCCCAAAAGACCAGATGAGACGAAAAGAAAGTAGACGAGATAGAAGGTTCCTGAGGCTGCAAAACGTGGTTAAAATAACTCCTATTATTAATACCCCTAAGTATTATTACCCGATTAGGCCTATTCTTAGTGAGGGATTGCTTCTATCTAATCTTTTTAGGTGGCGGATTGCTTTCATCTCATAATTTGGGAGTGATATTTCTAGGTACCCGATAGCTTCTATCTGATCTTTAATCTCTGTATAGCTGATTGCTTTTATCTGATCTTTGGGGTCTGCCGAATAGCGTTTGGGGTCTTCCGAAAAGGTTTTTCCATAAAGTATTCAGATACACACAACCACTGTGCAGCACCTAACCATGTTCAAGGTTGCAATGATGTGTGACAGCAGATCTAGAACGCAAGTTTGTGCGATTTGTTTAAAATTGCGTTATCTCGACCGGTGTGCTATGATGTAGCGGCATTGAGGAAGATGATGGCAGTGAGGCATTCCGTGGTGCGACTGTAGAAAACGATGGACAAAAGTCTTCTTCTTTGATCACAAGCACCAAATGCACGGTAGCAGTAGTTCACTAAAGCAACAACAGAATCAATAATTTCGTAGCTGAACGTGATACTGGAACCTCGGTGCTAGATATTCTTCTCTCATGTTATGTTATCGATTACGGTGGCTTATATCTTCTTTTCCTTGAGCAAAAAAGAACCCAGGCAAGGATGGCGCACATACGCGGTCGAAGGCAGGTCGGCGCAAGTGTATGAATGGAAACGGGCAGCATTAGGGACAAGAGTCTACTGTACACTCTTAGACCTGTATGTCACTGGGGAAAGATATCTTGTGTATGGGCCCTGGGCCGTACGTTTGCGTGATACTAGTCGAGACAACTCTCGACACATTGGTGATAGTGCCTTGCAGTGGAAAAGACGGTACGAAGATATGGCAGGCTTTGCGAAGCGGAACCAAGCAGGACGGATTTGTGGACTACCCAATCTAGCACCTCGTGTTCAACGTCATAAGCTCAGCAACTGCATGGCTCACTGTCAGTGCTCCGTGGAATAAGTTGACTTCATGAAGCAATCTTAACAAAACAATCGGCTCGTACCATGACTTCAAGATTGCAATGTAGAATTTACCTCGAAACGCACCTTGGGGTGTTGACCTCGTCATCGACCCCGCACATTAGCCATTAAGCCGGTGGAAGACCTAGACTCCATCTACTAGAAGCAGTAGAAGTTGTAACATCGTGGATACCTCCACCCCTCATACCCACTATATCTTGGCACTTTAATGCCTTGCACAGCCTGAGGCACGAAAAGAACAGGTGAAGTTGGAGTCGCAGATGTGCCTAGGTAGCCGTTGGGATAGCCTGGTAGGGCTGACGTTTCGTTTCAAGCAAGCGATGGTTTCGAATCACGGCACGATCCGCCAATGCAGATTGATGAAGACGGGCCATGTAAGAAGTTTGATAAGAAGGAAAGGCTTAGTATGGGCTGTTGATGCGGGCGACGGGTTTGTAATCCGAGTAGATGGGTATGATGTGATGGGATACGGGCGAGGGAAGGAATGGAGGAGAATGCATGTTTCATGTGGCGCTGCGGGGCAGAAGCGTGTGGCATTCATTCTGAGATGGTATACAGAAGTCGCGAAAACATGCGGCCGCAGTCAGTGGTGCTTGCCTCGAGGACAACGTGTAGTAGAGAGCCCGTTCCGCGGATGCTGCTAGGCATATCAACTGGTAGACGTGAGACTACGATTGTCGTTTCCTTCTCTGGAGTTTCTTTTAGCACTTGATCGCGCTCGCACATTTCACAGTTGGGCATTGTGTGCGCCGCTTTGTGTTTGACAACTTTCATGTTCAGCTTCAGCAATATTGCTTCATTTACTTCCCACGCCTCGGCACAAGACAAGCCTCAACAGTGACATTGCGGACGGGTGGCCAGCCACACGCAACATCGACACAGACGAGAGAAACGAACCGGAAACAGTTGAACGATGGGCCTCATTTCCGAGAGATCAGTCGACGTTCGTCGAGAGTCGAGAACATGCTCGTGTCGCTCGTTTCGAGGGCACAAGCTTTTGCAGGGACTAGGCGGGGAAGCTCATCAATCTTACGAGCCGGTCGCCAGTTCCACGTCAGTCCAGCATCGTACATGCTGTGGACACGGTACTGGAATCCCGGCGGTGAGGACCAAAGTCATTGTGTTGAAGGCATTCAGGCAAATGGAAGACTTGCGACAGACTGAGACGGAGGAAGTAGTCGCGATTACTGATTCGAACGTGGTTGTGGCTGTGTATTATGCGGAAATGCACTGACAGCGGTGGCATGTCTCAAGTGCACATGGCATGGGCGTGGCCTTGCTATACGCCGAAGCAGGACAGACGAGCGCGGCCCGCCGAAGAAAGAATGTGTGGCACAGTGGCTTGACGTTTGGCGGACCGTTGAAGTCGATACGACTTGACGAAGGATCGCGATGTCGACTAGAAGCTTCAGAATGCGATAGTCTAGATTGCGCGTCGACGATTCAGGCTCCACGGCGATGAAGTCACATCGGGGCTCTTTGTGCAGAGATGTGAAGCGGCAGGCCCAAGTCGCGCGTCGCACCATGGCCCACGCTTGGACAAAGACGGCCAATACACCATGGAACGCTCCACCGCTCCCTTATCCACGCCTATCGACAAGCGTCTCCGCAAACACGAGAACGCCCTCAACACGAGCTGATGTCGTCTGTGGCACAGTGTCTCTCCTGTCGCACCGTGTGCTGGCAGTGGGGAATGGGCCGAATCTCACTCATGCTCGCGCAAGTCCAATTTTGTCTCGCCCAGCAGCGTAGTCTGCGCTGAATCTCGGCACGGTTGTGTGCTCACCGACAGCGCGCATCTGCCAGGTACCCGCTCCTGTCGATGCTTCTAGCAGGGAGGATCTGCGGCATGGTCGCTTTCTATTTTGGCCAAGCGCCATGAAACGCAATCTATGGCGACGGCCGGCAAGCAGAGAGATGGATTCACAAGGCTATGCGAGGGCCATCCCAGCGCACATGGCCAGCGCGACGGGGGGGCGAGCAGGTAAACCATCGTGACCTCTTTCAGCGGCTTCGTCGGCTGCGAAAACGACGGCAAAATCAAGGCTCACCTCTCAAAGACGACAGCTCGCGACCGGCGTGTTCCCCAGCGGCTGCCATGCATCGAGGTTGCTCGTTGGCCCTCCTGACTGGCTAGCTTCATGCATTCCCCTGAAGTTGTTCCTGGCTAGCGACGCCGCTGACTGGCCCCTGCCGCCGGTTGTTCCTGAACGAAATTAACACCCGCCAGGGGCCGACCATCTTGGGCGCATCTGTGCTGCCGTTAGCAGCCACCCAGGTGCTTAGACCGCTTCCTGCAACTGTCAGCCAGAGCCTTCATATACCGCCCTCCCTCGCTGTGTTTTTTTCTCCTCACCCAAGGCAACTTTTCCTTACCACACTCGCTATACACTGTCTTCGGACATCACATTCTTTGAACATCCAGTCACTCTTTCCTGGATCATCAACGTTTCGCCTGGACCTTTGAATTCCCTCGTCAATACCCATTCAGTTTTAAGAGCTAGGATTTTTTGAACTTTCATCATGATGAAGCTTACCGTTGCCTTCTTGGCCGCTCTCGCTGCCGCCGATGCCGCTGAGGCTCGCAGCCACCGCCAGGCCCGTCGCCAATACGGTGCCACCGACTCCTACGGTGGAGGAAACAGCTACGGCTCCAACAGCTACGGTGGTGGCAACAGCTACGGCTCCAACAACGGCGGATACGGCGCCCAGCCCCCTGCTGGATCCAGCTCTGCCGTGCCCGTTGTCAGCTCTGCTACTCCCATCGTCAGCTCTGCCGTCCCGGTCGTTAGCTCTGCTACTCCCGTAGAGACCCCCGAGGCCTCCACCTCCGCAACCCCCGTTGTCTCCTCGGTCCCCTACGTCCAGACCTCTTCCCCAGCTTTCGAGACTTCCAGCACCCCTGCTGATGCCACCTACACTCCTTCCACCTCTGCTGGTGGCTACGGAGCTGTCCCCCCTGCCGGTGGTGCCAGCTCCAGCTCTCCCGTCCCTGAGGCTGCTACCAGCTCTGCTGCCAGCTCTGGTTACCCAGTTGGCGGCGGCTACGGAGGTGTCCCCTCTTCTGCCGTCCCTGAGGCTGCTACCTCCAGCTCTGCTGTCATCCCCACCATCAGCTCCACCGCTGCTGCCAGCTCCGCCTACGGAACTGGCTACTCCGCCGTTGTCCCCTCCGGTGGTGTCTCCAGCTCTGTCCCCGGTGTCAGCATGTCCTCTGTTGTCCCCTCTGGCGCCAGCTCCAGCTCCGTTCCAGGTGTTAGCATGAGCTCCGCTATCCCCTCCGGCTCTTACCCCGTCGGTGGCGGTTACGGTGGCGTCCCATCTTCCGCTGTCCCCGAGGCTGCCACCAGCAGCTCCGTCGTTCCCGGCGTCAGCATGAGCTCCGCTATCCCCTCCGGCTCTTACCCCGTCGGTGGCGGCTACGGTGGTGTTCCCTCCTCAGTCGTCCCTGAGGCTGCCACCAGCAGCATGGCCGGGACTGGCTACCCTCTCTACCCCACTGGCACTGGATCCCGCCCCGCTGGTGTCTCTTCCACCCCTGTCAGCGACATGGTGACCTCCACCATCTACAGCACTCAGATCTTCACCAAGACTGCCTGCCCCCCTACCGTCACTGACTGCCCGGCTCACTCCACCGCGCTCGTCACCAGCGTTGTTGCCGTCGGCACCACCGTCTGCCCCGAGGGTGAGCTTCCCCAGGCCACCCCCACCGCCGGTGTGACCAGCTCCTACCCCGTCTCTGAGGTCGTCCAGACCTACACCGAGACCCTCGTCTACACTGTCGGTGTTGGCTCGACTGCTCACCCAGTCACCACTGAGGTTACCTCCACCTCCACCTCCACCCAGTACTCCACTGTCGTCATCACTGTCGGCAAGCCCACTCCTACTGGTGAGGTTCCCTCTGAGGCCACTGGCCCCGCTGGCGGCGAGAACTCCTACCCCACTGGCCCTGCTGGTGGCGAGTCTGCCTACCCCGAGGGTGGTGAGGATGTCACTTCCACCATCAAGTCTACCTCCACCTCGACCAAGTACGTCACCGTCAAGCCCACTCCCACTGGTGAGGGCGACGTTCCCGCCGACTCCGAGTCCAACCCCTCTGGACCCGCTGGTGGCAACGGTGCTTACCCCACTGGCCCTGCTGGTGGTGAGAACGCCTACCCTACCGGCCCTGCTGGTGGTAACGCCACTCCTTCCGTCCCTGCTGGAAGCGAGGGTGGTGAGGACTGCGCTGCTCCCGTCACTGTCACCGTAACTGCCAAGGAGACTGTCACTGTTACCAAGGGTGGTGACTACCCTGCTGCTACCCCCGAGACCCCCGCTCCCACTCCTGAGGTTCCCTCTGAGCAGACTGCTTCCTCCGGCATGCCCTCTGTTCCCACTGGCATGTACCCCGTCCCCGGTAACGGCACCAACCCCTACCCTGCTGGCCCAACTGGCTTCAAGACCTCCACCAAGCCTGCTTACCCCACTGGCACAGGTGCCGTTCCCGTTCCCAGCAGCGCCACCTCTGTCCTCCCCAGCTTCTCTTTCGTCTCTGAGGTAGCCACCCCTACCGGCGAGACTGCTATCCCCTCTTCCACCGTCCCTGCCGGTGCTGAGTCCAGCGCTGCCTACCCCGTTGGTGGTGGCTACGGCGGTGCCTCCTCCGCTCCTGCCTCCTCCAAGACCCCTGAGGCTGCCGTCTCTTCCTCCACCGAGGCTTACACTCCTCCTGTCGCCACCCCTACCCCTGACAACAGCTACGGCTCTGGCAGCGGTTACGGTTCCGGCTACGGCACCTACTAAGCGCTGAAGTGCATTTCTTGTAGATGACCTTCGCGTTTGTTTGTGAATATTTGGTAGGATCGCTTGATCCGCATTCTCGCATGTCTTGTCTGTCTACTGTACCAAGTTCCCTCAGGCAGGGGCAGAGCGTTGGGTGGTTTCCTTTGTGATGGATTGTTCACGTAAAATTTTGGATTAGGCAGTTGATATGTACATTGGACAATATATTGACTGTCTACTCTCAAAACCACTCTTCGAGAACGCTATGCTTGTTGGACTGGTATCTGGATCCGGACGGTGCAATGTTTGATGATACTCGACTTTTTCATAGACCTTTCCTTTGTTGTGGTTATCAAATGACCAGGCGTTAACTAGTTTTCTTCAAATTCAATTTCTGCGACTTACTCATGCCTTGCCTTGTCTTCGTGATATTTTCTTGGCCACTTTCGACAACTAGTCTCCCACCCAAGACAAAGCTCGACTCTCCGTTAGCCTGGGGATTCACCGCGATACAAACTTAATCTTCAAGCTCTGTGACCGTACCTGCATATCACCCAAACGCTATCCTTGTACATGATCGTACCAAAGCTTGCACCTTGTCGCGCCATGGTTGCAGTAGCACAAGTACAACGTTTAATCAACTAACCTGCAGCCAACCGATACCTTGTCTCCGGGTCGCCCAACCACGCAGGAGAGCCAGCGCCGTACTTCTAACTCCGCCACCTCTTAGAATCGCTTGAACTTACCGCTGCGCAGGTTAAATTACTAGAGCAAAGCCAACTTGCTTTGACATTCCAGCAAACCTTTTCCACCGATGTCCAAGATCCGTTGGATAAAGGACGTGCGTTATTGTTGTTGATCTTTGGTGGCTCGAGCACATTCCAGTCTTGTAGATCTATAGTGCATTCCTGATATCAATACTTGCTGTCTGGGATGCCTCATCGTGAGAATAGTGGTATCCGTGGACGCGTCATTCATCTCGTATTCGACTTCGGACGGACCGCAAATAACTACTGACCAGATGGGCGGATTAGTCTTGCCGAAGACGTCCGTATGTCGTGATTCTGTTGACGTAGTTGGGAGAGATGTGGAGCTGCAGCGACTCGATTTACGAGGCGAGCGGATGCAGGTACGTGTTCAGGTCAGCATGATGGGTTTGTTGCTTATGCGATGGCCGAAGGGGTGGGGTTTGTTGGGGGGAGTTTCGCCGCGTCAGTGGTGGCCGATCACTATTTGTGCTATTCTTGAAGGTTGGTAATTTCCAAGATGGGCTGGTCGAAGCCGAAGCCGGGACATGGGCATCAGCGAGAAAAGCAAGGAAAGCGAGAGAATGTATCGACCAGAATACACAAAACATGTGGTGTATAATGCACGTTGTGGAGTCAGTGTTGAGCTGAACCTTGTGCCTGCTACTGCCGGGTATCAGTATCCTAAACGCCAAATGCACTTGTCTGCTCGATGATTGCGTCCTTGTGCCGCAAAGTCTCTCAGACTAGTAGTCATCCTCGAAATCGTAGCCGCCCCTTGTCCTACTTTGACCCAGGTGTTGCCGCACCCAGTATTGGTTATAGGTTGAGTAGTCTCGTTCGCCACTGAGGCCGAGTTGGCCTGCGACGTTGACATAGCCGTCCTCGTTCCTCTCCAAATTCATGGTATCGACATCACCCAGCTTGCCTTGGAAGCCTACATCGGCCTCCCATTTGGCGCGACAGTATGGACAGGTCGCTTTGCCCTTTGATACGGCAATCCAATTCTGCATGCAAGCCTTGTGCACGTTGTTTCCACAGCTGGACTTGCAGTATACAATGGCTTCGTTCTTGCCGAGCTCATCGTAACAAATGGGGCATTCGCCCTCGATAGGCTTGCGATTCCCGACCTGGCCTTCTTGTTCGGTGCCGTTCTTGCCGTCGGTCTCCACACCCGGAATGGGTGGCGCGTTTTTGATGACTTCGCGCAGCTCAGCGCTGATGAGGGCCAGTTGGTATGCCACCTCCTCCCGTGCTTTCAACACACGTAGCATGACGTAGATAATGTGCTTGCATTGATTGCCCTTCTTCGCGTGTGGACAGTCACAGCTTGGGACGAGACCGATCGAGACCGTGTAGACATTTCCCGTTGACCCTGCCACAATAACCTTCTCCTCAGGCACATCATCGCTTCCGCAGCGGTCGCGCGAAAGGACTGTCAGACGCTGGGTTAGAGCTCTTTCCTTTATAACAATATAGCTTTGGGGCGCCTTCTTGCGAAAGACCCTCGCACGCTTCTCTTCGGTAGGCGCATCAGCATCGCGCTTGCCTCTCTTGCTGGGGAGAATCTTCTTTGGAGAATCCCCGGTAAGGTCGATCACTTCAGGAGCGCTTTCAATCTTTTTGGCTTTTCGCGGCGTAGACTGGTAATTGAAGGACGCATCGTCATTGTCGTCGCCGTCATGGTCGGCATATGCGGTACTCTTGCGCTTGCGTCTCGCCCGTGTCGGCGGGAGGCCCAGGTCGGAGTCCATGGCGTGCGAGGAGCGAAGATAGTGTCGCAAGGCGAGTGAGATGACACAGGTGTGACAGTCGGATGCAATTGTGGGGACAATGGGTTGCGGGGAGCGATGGGGAAAGTGGCAATTCGCGCTTTGCCCGCGAACGCACGTGATGACGTATTTTACTCCTCCATGGTCATTCAATCAGGGAGGCTTCTCCCCCACCTCATCCTCTACCATTACACCTACATCCCTGGTGATGATTCTATGGTACCATAAGATTCAGATGCTTACCGGCATGATACATCCTATGCATGATGCCTCGCATGTAGCCCCGGATCGTAGACCGACAAGGTTCCATTGTTGTATCTCCATTATATCACCATCTCTCTTTCCCCACGGCTTCTAAGATAACCTGCATTCGCAAATGGTTCTTTGGACGGCGGCGAATCGTGCCCCAAGCTTGGGTGTCATCCCCTTGCTACCCGATGTCAAGCCTATACAATCAGTGGCAGGATCTCACCATATCCCTCGTATAGTCATGAACCAAGTATGTGGCAGCATCTGCTTGATTCAGATACGCCTTTTGAGTCTTCTATCTTATGGAGATTCGCGGTAGAATGGAGGATCCTATCATACTTGATAACGTGCTTTGCAATTTGGACACGAATGTGGTCCGCTTCGTTCCAATCTTGGAATCAAACAGACTTTCTCCGCGTCTCCCGACCCGAAGGAGCTTGCAAACACGCCTACATCTACAGCGGTCAAACGTAGAATCATGCCGTGGTACGGCTAGCTAGCACAAATGAGCGGTTCCTATCGATCTCCAATATCTATTTCGCATAGCAGTCTTCAACTAGCCGCCATAATTGCGTCTTACGAGGGACCGGTCACAGATCTCAGTACACACGGAACAACGAGCTAGACAAGCTTCCTAACCATAACATCTACGCATCTACGGAGATAGGCTCTGCAAAACGAAGCCATGGCCAAGCACACCAACAAGAGCACGATGCCAAAAGAGCATGCCATTCGGCCTCAATTGACATCATCAGCAGATCTTGGAGGCCAAGTTGCACCAGCAGTAGAAGATAACACCTTTGGTAACGAGGAAAGCGCTGAGATACAGTATAAGACTTGTAAATGGTGGTAAGTGTTCAAGCCTTGCGCTCCTGCTGTTTATAGTGCTTTGGAACGGAAGCTGCCAAGTTGTTGCTGCTTTCCCACATAAGACATGCCTTTGCTTGGTGTATGTGACAACTCTATCTGTGAGCTACAGCTGACTTCACACTTCTAGGGATATTGGTGCTCGTAAGCCTCTCATTTCTCGATTCATGTATCTCACTGACGTAGTCTAGTGATGCTTGCAGAGAACGTTTCCTTAGGCGTCCTTGCCCTTCCACAAGCTCTCGCAATCCTCGGTCTCGTCCCTGGCCTCCTTTGCATATGCTTCCTGGGCATCATTGCTACATACACAGGCTATTTGATTGGTGAATTCAAGCTGGCTCATCCATCCGTAACCTGTTACGCTGACTGCGGTATGTTGATTGGAGGCCCCATAGGTCGCGAGGTGCTTGCCATTGGGCAGGAACTAGTCTTGATCTTTATCATGGGCGCGCATATCTTGACATTCGGCGTCGCGTTGAACGCAATGACAGACCATGGCGCTTGCACGATCATCTTCAATGTTATCGGCTTGATCATCTCTTTTCTATTTGGATTACCAAGAACATTCAAGAACATTAGTTACTTTAGCTACTTCTGTGAGTTGGGATTTCGGTCACTGGACGTGGCCCCGTTAGCTAATGACCTCAGCTTGTAGTTCTATAATCATAGCAGTTACGACAACTATGATCGCCATCAGTATCCAGAAACCGGACACGGGCAACATCGTCGCCGTACGACCCGACGTAACATTGGTGAAGGGTCTAGCGCCGGTCATGAACATCGTCTTGGCCTTCAGTATGCTCTCTCCTGTGTCTGTCCTTGCAGCAACTCATACTGATTTCGCATAGCCGGCCACGTCGCTTTCTTTTCGTTCCAGTCTGAACTCGAGGATCCTCGCGACTTCCGCAAAGCCCTCATTCTTGAACAAGATATCGCAGTTACCTTCTACATGCTCATTTCCGTCATTATATACTATCACGCTGGACCTTCGGTTGCCTCACCCGCCCTTGGTTCCGCATCCCCACTGGTCAGTAAGGTATGCTTCGGTATTGCGCTACCTACAATCATCGTCGCAGGCGTTGTGAATGGGTCTGTGGCAACCAAGTATATCTACTTTCGTGTATGGAAGGGCACGAGTGTAGCTCACGCCAACAGTTGGCTCAGTTTGGGAAGCTGGGGTGCTATTTGCACAGGCGCGTGGCTGATAAGTTGGATCTTGGCAGAAGCAGTGCCAAACTTCACCCTTCTTCTGGGCCTGATGGGCGCGTTGTTTGGAAGCTGGTTTAGCTGTGAGTCACTACTGACACGACCTGGGAGGATGAAGATAGGGGTGTTAGCTGACGCGTGCAGATGCACTTCCTCCGGTGATGTGGCTGTGGCACAACAGGAAGAACCGTAAGCTGTTTTCTTCCAAGTCGCAAACGGCTTTTACAATGCTGAACCTTTTTATCGTGATTCTAGGCGTACTTATTGTAGGTCGCGTTCCTTGATTGTCTCTAGATGATTACTGACTCGTCGTGACAGTTTGGGCTTGGTATGTGGTCTTCTGGATGGGCGTTGAACTACGGATCGGGCAGCAAGGTATTCTCTTGTGAGAATAACTGGCATCCTGTTAGTTGGGTAGTAGGAGGTACAGAAGACGCATAGATTGTAACGCGATAGATGGAGCGCAAGCGTCGACAGCATAGTCCCTCGAGGTCGTGCTAATTTAGGGTTGTTGATGGGCGTGGGGGAAGAGCCGAAGGTTCAAGCTGTAGATGTCATAAGCAGACTTATGCATTGTATGGACGAGTAATTCTGAGCGCAGTTTGATATCAGATGCAAACCCACTGGGAGGCCGTGGGATTGCGGAACGGAAGCTATGACGCGCCCGGGACACGCGCAACCGAGCGTTGCGCATCTCACGACTCCTCACTTCATCAGCCAATAACAAGCCTACCTACCCCCAGTGCCCGTCCGAAACAAGCTGTTCCCGAAGAAAAGACGCAGGCTCAGGTAATCTGGCTAATATGGATATGGACAGAAACGCCAAGTGAGGAGGCTGGACGACCTGGCTCCGCTCGGCCTCACCACCATGCTTACCCTATTTCCGTTGACTAGACGACGCGCTCAAAGTACTTGGTGATTCGGGCTGAGGATTTATTACCGCGAATTGGTGGCTGTTGATTCTGCGAGGTTGTATTACTGATTGCTGGTTTTGTACTCTTACCCTTAGCCAACTGTCCTACCCTGCTTTCCACGAACGTTCAAGCGTCCGACCCCGACCTTTTCGCTGCCCAATTCCCCCCTGATCGAGTTTGATCCTCTCTTGCGACACCAACTCGGCCGCGATATCATCTCGCGACTTCAATCTCAACATGCCAGTCGAGCTTCGTAAGCGCAAAGAAGCGCCCCCAGCGCCAGTGCGCGCGGCCAAGAAGAAGGCACCTGCTAAGGACAAGAAGCCTGAAGAGGAGAAAACGGTCGTCGAAAAGGTCCAGGAAGCCGTCACAGAGCAGGTTGAAGCTGTCAAGGAAGCTGTTGTCGGTAAGAGCAACGGCAAGTCTACGGCGGCGGCGGCGCCTGCGAAGAGCGGCCCACCCAAAGTCGGCGACAAGATTGACCTCGCCTCCTTCGGCGGAGAGATCGAGACGAATGATGGAGACAAGACGACACTTGCGAAGCTTGTCGAGGAGAGCAAGGGCGGCGTTGTACTATTTACCTACCCCAAGGCTTCGACACCAGGATGTAAGTCGCACGCCCCTGACAGCCCCCTCCATTTCGCCGACTGGTTCTAATGCGTACGATTGCAGGCACAAAACAAGCTTGCCTCTTCCGTGACTCCTACGATCCCCTCACCGCAACCGGATACTCCATCTACGGTCTCTCCGCTGATAGCCCCAAGGCCAACACAACCTTCAAGACCAAGCAGAAGCTCCCCTACACCCTGCTTTGCGATCCCTCACAGAGCCTCATCTCGGCTATTGGATTCAAGAAGCCACCGAAGAGCACCACGCGTGGTGTCTTTGTTGTTGACAAGGAGGGCAAGGTACTTGCCGCTGAGCCTGGTGGCCCAGCAGCTACCGTCGATGTCGTAAGGGACCTTGTGGGCAACAAGGAGGGCGTGCCGAGTAAAGAAGACGCCGAAAAGGCTGAGAAGAAGGAAGACCACGAGATGGCGGAGACGGCTGATGAGGTCGCTGATAGTGCGGCCAAGGTGGATAGCAACGAGGCTTGATAGAGGTCCTGTAAAAAGTGTACGCAGCACACAAACCTTCTCTTCATCCTTGTCCTGGGGTTGGCGTCATCAGAGCTTGGGGAAAGCATTTGGTACTGCTACATCGAATACATTTCCAGGTTTTGGTACATGTTGACTATTGTTCGAACTTCCATCTCTAAACTCATCAAAAATCCTGCTGTCAGGATGAAGGCTATCGTTATCGCAGATTTGTACCTGAGGGCTCTTACAAGAGCTTTTTTTTTTTGGAGGCACGAACACATTATCACTACCGGCACTGACATTGCATGGTGCTTCAGAGTCAGTGAGTTTCAAGGTACGGTGCTGACAGATGCATACATATGTATATATGTACAAACAAAACCGGTCTTCAAGCCCTTGAGCCCGGTTCCTTCGTGTTTCGCACAAGACACTCCTTACCTAGGTAATGATGGTGTGGGCTGGTTCATTGCATGACAAACCTAGCCTCAGGGTTGGAAAATACATAGGGCACTTTTTTTTAAGGTAAAGCGCTCGATGATTACAGGTACACCCTGGGCGACCGCAAAGACTTTTTGCGAGAAGAGCTATTAGGCCATATCCATTCTATGTGGTCTCTGGGGAGGCAAATTACTTGCAACAATACAGATGAGGCACTCACCGGTGCGGAGGTTTTATTTACACCATTCGGTATCAAGTTCAAGCGGCGTCAGATTTGGTCCTCAGATGATGCTTATACATCGAGAAAGACAAATAGACAAATATTAACTTTTGGCCTCACGCACTCAACTTCCAGAAAACTCATAAAACTACTTACTGGGTCCAGTCTTGCAGGAAGACTGGACGTGATGGAGCCAGTGTGACTTCGATGTGTATGAATCCCTCATGTCAGAACCTTCAACATCCACACAGACCGGTACGAACAAGAAAAACATAAGGCGTAATACAGAAAAAAAGAACCTGCAACTCAATCTGCAGAGAAAGCGCGCACTCCAAGGCATATTTCAGAACAAGCCAAGCGAGGCCTAGAGGCTAACACGAAACGACATTACACCAGGAACAGAGAAAGGGCACATTCAACATCGAACACAGACGTGTAATTAAACAACTATGAGAAATTGATTATTGGGTATCAAAGTACAAACTCTACTCTCTACCAGGTCGATACGGTATATAGGCATCCCCAACCTCTGGTATCACAGGTGTACTATCAAGCTCAATGGGCGCAATAGGTTTTCTCGGTACCCTGGCCAACCCAGCAAGTTCTGTTGCTTCAACTCCGCTCTCTGGACCCACTGGACTAGAAGATTGTTGTGCAGATGTCCCAGTGACCTTCAGACGCTCGGCCTCTACAGCATCCATTTCCACATTCCATTCGGGTGTTTCGTGTGGGTGCTGGGACGAGCCAGTGTAGTATGCTGCTGCAGCAGTGCCTTTGGGCATGTCGTGGCGAGTGGATGCTGCTTGGTTGGCTGTGTCGTCGACGGATCGTAACGGGTAGTCGTCTTTCTCGTCTCCTAGGTTCTTCAACGCAATCGCTGCTTTGCCGTTCTTCTTCTTTCTCCTCCACAAAAGAAACATTGCCAACGCTCCGATGATTATGACCAAAGGAATGATTGTGGCTATCGCTGCTATAGCACCAGTCGAGATACCATTACCACTGTCGCCGCCACTACCACCACCTCCTCCTCCTGGACTCTGACTGCTAGTAGCTCCGGTACTGGTAGCCTCTGTGCTCGAAGCTGTTGGGCTGTTCGTGCCCCCAGTATCACTAGGTTGATATCTCAAGTGCAATGCCGTGATACTCGGCGTTGCGGTTGCTGGCCAGGCACCTCCGTCGTACGTTCTCAATTCGTTCTCCTCCGCGTCCGCCTCCCCACATTCAACAACCGGAAACCTGCCACTACCTTCCGGTCTACATCCGTCTCTTCCGTCTGCCTGGAATCCATCGGGACAGCACTGCAGCCCAATTTCCCCATCTATCCATCTATTATCGCTGCCCTCTCCGTTTGCTGCTGTTTGTGTGGCGACTGCCGTCCATTTTGCTGGGCATGCGGTAGCAGGCGAGTAGAAAGCGGATGGGGATGGATAGACATTCGATGTCACCCAGGGCATGCAAGCGGTATTTATGCTAAATGGTATTGGGTCGTTATCCTCTTCGGTAAAGACACATGTTTGGCCCCAAGCGACGGCGCCATTGAGGTTGCGGAGAGTTTCGCATGCTTGAGGTGGTGCAGTCGTCCATGCTGTGTCCCAAGCGTGTTGTAGACTTCGTGATGTGGACGTCATTTCGGGAAGAGTACCTGGGCAATCTCCAACTATGCGCGTATGCTGCGCAATAATATCGCTAGCTACGACAATGAAGCTAGGGATCGATAGGAGAACAGGAACACGAAAATCAACGAAGCACAATGGATCTCACAGCAATTTCAGGAAACTCCGAAGACTCGCCGTCGGTCGGGGGAATTAAGTACAGTAATGTCAAAGCCCATCATCGGAATACATCACCAGGAACACAGCCTTGCCAGACCCACTTACCGCATCCTGGGTTATCGAGATGTGGAGAGACTTAGATGATTTCATTCGGTGGCAACGGGTCGGCAATTCGTATAACAGGTCGTTGCCTCTGGGCATTCTTGGCGATCTAGCCTTGGGCAGGCTAGATTTGTTGATCTCGTAGACCTAGTGTTTGATATTTGCCTTGGGCATGTAGAGGTTGCGTCGTTGCTGTTGGTGGAGAGTAGTTAGTTTTGAATTTTGGTGGGATGCGAAGGATTTGACATAGCCACGGTATTCATCATCATGCTGCACCAACGACATGGTAGTGGATTTATATTCTATTCTTGAGATTTGCTCTACAACCAGTGGCTGCAAAAGTCTTATTTCCACCGGATTGTTCGGGTATGTTGTATCTTCAGTGAATTCAATCTCAAACAAGAAAGAACCCACCAACTAGGCAGGCGCCTTGTAGCCAGCCTCCACCAGACCTTCCTTCAAGCTCTCAATGGCCTTGGTGATGTCTGGTCGGTTTGGGTCGGTTACACTGACACCCATGTGTCCGAATCGAATGTACTTGGTTGCGATCTCCTTGTGCAGACCACCAGCAAAGATGACGCCCTTCTTCAAGAGGTTGGGCAGAACATCCGGAGGTGTCATACCCTCGGGTAGGTAAATAGCAGTCATGCCGGTGGCCTGGTTCTCTGGCTTGGAAGCAAGCTGCTTCAGACCGAGATCTGCCACAGCCTTCTTGACCTTTTGTGACGCAGCCTTGTGTGCGGCCCAGTAGTCTTCAACAGGTCGGGAGAGAATCTGCTTGAGCGCCGTGTCGAGCGCGTGAATCAGTTGTGGGGACGGCGTAGCGAAGTAGGATGCCTTCTTTGCTTCATAGTTTTGCATGACTGTAACTGTGTTAGTTTCCTGCATCGGCTCACGGGGAAAACCAAGGTGACTTACTTGGTAGCCAGTTCTTCCATGACCCAAAGTAAGAAGTTGGACGCGTCTTCCTCGCCTTGAACCTCTCAATCGCACGACCAGATACCATCATGATGCTCAGACCAGCTGGGCAGCCGATGCCCTTTTGTGAAGCCGTAATTACAGCATCGAGCTTCCACTCGTCAAAGCGGATCTCTTCAGAGCCAACACTGCAGACACCGTCGACGACGACCAATGTCTCAGGACTGACTCTGTGAACCAGCTCGCTCAGTGCCTTGATCTCACTGAGCACACCAGTTGAAGTGTCGACGTGTGTAACGGTCAGGATCTTGTAGTCTTTTTCCTTCAGCGCCTTCTCGACTTCATCGAGTTGTGGTCGGTCGCCAATGGGCGCCTTGAGCTGTGTGGCCTTGACGCCGTAGGTTTCGAAGCAGTCGGCAAACGAGTCGGCGAAGTAGCCAGTATGTAGGACAAGCACTTCATCGCCAGGCTCTACCAAATTGGCCGCTACCTGATCCCAGCCGAGTGTACCAGAGCCGGAGATGACGAAGGGTTGCGCGGCAGGGTCGCTGGTGAGGAATAGTTTGCGTAGATTTCCAAGGACTTGGCTGAAGGTGTTTACAAAGGGTTGGCCGACATGCGATTCACTGGAGACGGTCAGTACTGATGAAGATGATGCACACAGTACTCTGGACATGTTACCTGTAATGGCTCATAGACGAGAGGACGGCATCGTCAAACTCAATGGGCCCAGGAATGAGCAGCGCAGGGTGTGGTGCTTGGCTCGACATGTTCTTGGGTGGTTCCGGCGCAAGCTTCTTGACTTCCTCTACTTCCCTCTTGAATTCTTGCTTGGCTTCCTTGAGCTTGGCTTGTTCGACTTTATCGGGAAGTATGCGATTGCCTTGTTCGTCCTCGATGCGGGCGGTGCGTTCAGTGGAGAAGGGAGTGTTCAATTCGAGGAAGGGCTTGGAGTCTATATGCTTGGAGATCTGTTTCAGTCGGGAGCCAGCCCGAGAACGAGGTGACGACATGCTTGGGCGGGGTTGAAGGCGGCTGTTCACGGCAAGGAGACGCAACCGCGGGGCTGCAAACATCCGGTCTTCGGAGGCGAGCGCGATGGATGAATATGGCTGTGATGGACACGTTCAGTATTGCGTTATGCCAATTGCGACCATGTGCGATTGGCTTGTTGGTATCTAGGAGACAAGGACGCGTCAGAGAAAAGAAATGAGTTATTTGTAGTAACGAGAGACGTGACGGAGTTTGGCGATGCAATTGGTAAAATAAGGAGTCTATCAATCGCCGCTCCAAAATTACGGGATAAAAAGACGCTTCTACACGCACGGATGCGGACCCGGGTTTCTGAATCGTGGGGTGCTACGACGGTTCCGCGACGCGGGCGCGTGCTGGTGAACTTGCGCGTGTCACGTGAGTGCGAGAAACGCCTGGCGCGAGCTTTACTCGGCAAGGGTGTTTGTTGATGCTGCACGAGAGTGGAGACCAAAACACTCGAGCGTCAACACCACACCAGCCCGCTCTCGAATGCATCCTAGCAGCGCATACGCAACCCGACAGAGTCACACGACACAGCCCAGTTGACATTGACAACGACAATGCGTGTCACACGCGCCCGCGCCCAGCAGGCCAGCGATGATGCGCCGGACGCGACCGAGCGTGCGCCCTTGGAACAAATCTCGTCCAATGCGTCGCCCAAACACGCCCACTACGAACAAGAGGACCTGCCTCCGAAAACACCCGCCAAAACCCCGGCGAAGACTCCAGGGCGGAAGACCAAAGGAAAAGGCCGTGCCCAAAAGGGAAAGAAGGGCAGAGCAGCTGAGGAGGAGGAAGAAGAGGAGCAGACCGGAGCCGCACATGAAGAGGAACAAGCCGCAGATGAAGCGCCCACGAACAAGGCGACTGGCGACCAAGTTTCCAACAACGCTCCCGACGGTGAGTGCGCAGCCGCCGTACGCCAGCGAACACAGGCTAATCATGTATAGGAGCCACTCAAGTCCCCACAAACGATGAACGACCCGTGACTCCACCACCCACAGTGCGACGAACACGCCGACAGCTAGCTATGCTGCAAGAGGAAGCAAAACAGGCGCAGCTCAGTGCCCAATCACAAGAGCCAGAGCCTGTAGCAGAAGTGCCTGCGACGATAGAAAAGACTCTAGACGAACACAAGGCTGTGGATACATCTTCTGAAGATACAACGGCGGGTGCGGAACAGGTCCAAGCTGAGAGCCTGTCAGAAGAGCCCATACAAGGAGCTCAATTGCCAGCTGCAGCAGAGTCTGTAGAAGAAGCACAAAATGTGCCCATAGAAGAAGAAACGCCTCAGGAGGTGACTGAGACGGTAGAAGCAACCCATGCTGCGCCGGTGCCGCAAATTGAGGAGCCTCAAAGCGAGGAGCCCGTCGTCGAAGCAACAGTGACTGAAGCAATATCCGAAAATCAATCGCCCGTGTCTGAAGCTGAACCCCCCGCACCCTCCGTTCAAGTAAGTTCAGAACCTGAACCCAAGACGCTCGCAGCCGAGAGGCCCAGCGAAGACGCTGTGACACCACTCAAAAGCCATACTTCAAGTCGACGAACATCGCGAAGCCCGTCAAAATCACCAATGCGTTTGGAAGAGTCTTTCGAAGCCATCGATGCGCTTGAGGAAGCGCTCGAGAATGTCACGTCCGTCACTCGATTCGACCATGCGAATGAAGTCATGTCGCCTCAGAAAGCAGAGTTTCCCAAGACAGCTACCACGCAGATCATGCGGTCCAAGACACCCATCAAAGCGCCAGTGCCCACACAAGCTCCCGCTGCGAAGATATCCAGAACACCGAGTGTTGCTGCGCCTAAGAGCATGAAGCCAGTCAAGTCTTCGATAGCTCGCGCGTCTAGTGTCCGCACAGCACCTGGTAAAGACGGTAGAGTAGGTTCTACAGAGACCGTAGATTATCTTGCCTTAAAACGCCGGCCAATCAGCATGTCATTTCCCACACCTGCGCCACCACCAAAGGGTCGCGCACCTACAAAGCCTACTTTCCAGCTGTCAAGCAACGATACGGTCGCCAGATTGAAGGCCCAAAAGGAGGATAGACAAAAGAGGGAGGCAGAGTGCGGAGTTTCCAAAATACGGCCCGTCAGCATGCCTCCTCTACCAAAATCCACCAAGCCTCTCACCAAGCCAGCTTTCCAACTCCCTGGCGAAAGAATTGCTGAGAAACTCAAGGCACAGAAGGAGGAGCGGCAAAGGAGAGAAGCTGAAGTACCTCAACAACAAGCACCAAAGCAGCGTCCTGTCAGCATCAGCATGGCTCCTCACGCCAAGTCGACGAAAGCACCAACAAAGGCCACTTTCGAGCTCCCCGGCTCAGCCGTTGCAGAAAAGTTGAGAATAAAGAGGGAAGAGCGCTTAAAGCGCATGGAAGAAGCGGAAGCAGCAAAGAAAGAAGCCGCCCTCAAGGCACGACAGGCACCAGTACGGAAGCCAGTGGCCGTCCCTATCAGACAGCAACCAGGCATTACCATTGCGCCACCACAACCACAGATCCAACGGGTGTCTTCACTTGCAAGCAAGCACAGCAGCATGTCTCTCTCGCAACCAGGCGTCACTATTGCGCCACCGCAACCACAGCAAGAGTCTCAGCGTTCTTCTTCTCTGGCTAGCAAGCGCAGTAGTATGTCTCTCTCGCAACCACTGTCTCAGTCACGTTCTACGTCGACGTCTTCGGCAAACCGCAATAGTGTCATCGTTCCTAAGGCTGTTGTCACACCTGTTGATGCTGCGCAACAGAAGCTGAAGGGTAGAGAGGTCTTCAATCGTGATCGCATGGAGAAGGAAGCGCGGGAACGTGAGAGGAAGGAGAAAGAAGAAGCTGCCAAACGGGCACGAGCGGAGGCAGCTGAGCGTGGGAGGATTGCCAGTAGGGAGTGGGCTGAGAGACAAAGGAAGAAGATGATGGGTGCTTGAGTGTATTGCGAGCTGTGTTTTGTTTTTGCACCAAAGTCTTCTCGTTCAAGGACCATATTTGGTGTCTCGGGTACATGAGGTACTGATATACCCATTAGGTCTTCTCTTACTTCTACTAGGGTTGGTCTGGTGTCTGGTGTTATACTGTCATCACCTCGTCTTCCCATGGTCGACTGGAGGTTTGTTTTGGTCGTTGGTACGGCGATTCATCTGACCTTTTTTTTTTACATTTAGGCTCGGTGCCTGGGTATCTGGGAAAGTATCATCGTTAGCCTTCTGGTTTGTCCCATCACCTTATGATTCAAGTTTGCAACTTCAAATCCTCGTCTTGATTACTTGACCTATTTCCGGTGAAAGCGCGAACAAGTCTTAGCTGACGATGGGGCTCTGCAACAGCCTCGAGGAATATCCCACTCTATTGCGGCGCTTGGCTCGGCACATGGGCATTCGCATCTGCATCTTGCTCTTTGGGTTTTGTTTTAGCGGCAGTGAGTCGGGCCTTACCATCCCACGCGATATTAGCAGCAAAATTACTTTCAAGTTTCTTGTGATTGGGGTCTGGCGTCGATGCATCATCACTACACAATGATGCATGCGTCCCATATTACTATCGTTGGGCATGGCTCACTGCCACGCGTGCTGCCCGATGCTCTGGTATGAAGTGGAGCCTCCTTCCTCCCTTAGGTGTATACCACATTCAGGTGTCGCAACGAGCGTTTCTTCTTTAGCGTCATCGAATCGATCACTAGGGAAATTAGACATGTCTCTTCTGGACAACGTAGGATTGTCAAAAGAAAAAAGAGGATTCGTTGCGGGAACAACTGCCGTGACAGATGAGCTGACTCGGCACGCTTCTGATGTGGGTCTTTTCCGCGCAGGGCAATCAGGCACATCACAAATGAGTGATGATGCCAAAGGGATCGGCCTGTCCGAGAGTAAGGTAGTGTTGTGCGCTCCCTTCGTCCTGACGTCCGCGTGGGTTGAAGCGGCTCTTTCAGCCGCACCGTTGCTGTCCAGTGTCTCCAGAAAGTGAAAGAGAATATGGGAGACGTTACAACCTAATGAAATCACTAGCTCTTGCGAATGCAGCTCTGTGAGTTAAGAGACTTTCAGATAGTTGGTACTTGCCAACTGCACTGATACCACAAGGCAAACCTTGACATATTGAGATCTGATCGTGTCGGCGCGTACCGAGCAACCCCGCAGAGGAAAGCTAGACGCCGCCGGGTCTTGTAAGTACGAGTCAAGCATGTTCCTCGCCGCGTATCATCCACGGCCCTTTGTGAGTTTTTTGTATGACGCCATCGTGCGCTTTGCGAATGCCCAACGTCGAGTCAGTAATTTTACTTAGCCAAGCTTGGCCGAAATATACCTGCAGAAGACGAGGGCCGAATCTGAACCCAAATCTGGCACACGATCCGAAGGGTCGTGAAGGATCTGTGTTCCTGAATCTCGATTGCGCCGATCAACGATATTTCGATAAGCGAAAATCCATGATAGGTTGGAATAGTATTCCGCAAGATCTTGACATTATTGATGACGCCTGACACTGACAGATTGCACACGCTCTCCCGTGTGCCTGCCGTTCGGGGCAACATGTGCGTTGACGGGTGCCTGCATTGTATTGAAAGTCAATTTCTGGATCATTTGTGTGGGTTCGGATGCGTGCCATGGCAGTGTGAGCGGCTGGACTTTTACACCGGGCGATCAAGTTCTGGATGCCCTTTGGATGCAGCGACTGATGGTGTTCGTCGACCAGCTAAACGATAAGTTCTCCGCACGTTATTGGAGATCAGCGTACTACTACAACAATCCTATCAGTTCGAGAGCCTGGCGAAGAGCTTGTAAAAGCTTGCGCAATAGCGAGATGGAATCGATAACTTTTAAGCGAGGTATCGTGGGAAGCGAGGGGCCGTATTGAGTGTATCGTGACGCTTTTCCGCGACGATCCTCGGAGATGGCGAGCGAGATGCAAGCCAGCGAGGAGAACCAGTCGCTGTGGTTGGTAAAGTAGAGCTTGCTTTTTGTCACACTTTGGTACCGAAGCAGGTTCAGGGGGCCTCGATGAGGCTCAACACGCCCTGTGTGACTCTTGATTCAGCGTCGGGGAGTTGTTGGTACTCTCCGAGCCTTCTCAATTCGTGGTCCTTGCAGGATGCCTGAAGTTCCGGACCTAATTTTGCCGTAGCGGCTGCACCCTTGGCTGATATCGCGACCGGAGCCAGGACCCAGCGAGTGTGTATGGATGCAAAGTGTATTCTGTGTCGGTCCTTTGCGGGAGCATGAGAGACTCTGGAATGCTTGAAGCGGCCCGTGGCGGTTAACAGAATATCGATCCTTGGAGGTGATCGGATCTCGGAACAGTTCACCAGGCCCTAACTGCAAGCGAGGTGAGCTGTGAGTGGTGTGAAGACGACACGGCCGCGTTGATACATGTCACACGAGGACGGGCAAGCGTCGCACATGCAGCGATGACCTAATGATGGGGAGTAGCAGGAAGCCGCCGTCTCGCCATGGCTGGGACGCCTGTTGAAAGGCGAAGCTGCGCAAAACATTGCCAGCTAATCCTGGGGCTCGCTTGCGAAGTGGAGCCGGATGAGCTGGCATTGCGGAAGAGGACCGTGAGAGAGTCAAGGCGCGAGTGAGCAGCAGAAGGGAGAATTTGTGCGTTGAGGCAGCAGCCGGCCCATGGCAATGACGAAAGCGCGCCGTTTTGCGCGCATGACAAAAAGGGCAACTCGACGACGGCTGGCAGCGTTGCGCCATGGCGACTTCCCCCTCATGGATGCGTGCAAATGCCGCATGACGAAGCGTGGGATCGAGTTGCTTTTTTCTTGCTCGCAGCTCGCATAGCGACTGGCGGGATGAGCCCTGTCGCCGGCAACCCAGACAAAGTACGGGCCGTTCATACAAAAGTGCGGAGAAGCCAAGCAGGAGAGGCCCACCTGCAGCAGACATGGCCAATCGCAGCCGCCGGACCAGGGCGTGCGGCGACGGCGGACCAATGTGTGGAGGGCATGCAGGCGCAGGCCCAAGGTTGGTGTTTTCAAGGGCACACTGCCTATTCCCAAGGCAAGGGGAGGCTGCGACTAAGTGGGTGCGTCCTGCTCGCTGGAACCCCTCAACAACGTCCAAGTGTGTCTGCTTATCGCCACCGGAACATGACTTGCTGCGAACGCTGTTGGGCGTGGCTGGCTTCTGGATCATGCCTGATTGCGCGAAAAATTCTTCCTGGCGAATGTAGCACAGGCAGAAGGAATACCGGTGGAGAGACCAGCTGTGCCTCGTCTTACCACTCTGACCACGCACTGCGCAGCATGCAAACTCTAAAGCGCCACGGGAATATAACGAGACGGCGCATTGGGCCTGGGCGTGTCTCATCTGTGCTCATTGTGAGGGCTTGTGCTTATCTCTAAGCCAAACACTGTACCAAAGGGTGCCCCGTCACGTGACGGTGAGGGGTTGGCGTGATCTGCAGCCGTGGTGAGACATGGCCGGGTTGGACAGGCGGTTGCGCGAGGCTGTCATCTGAGTATCACCGAGACAAGTGGAGCAGATGAAAATGTTTGACGTGTCTTGTCGCCATGAGTCTATGCTCATGACCGTTGTGTCCATTTGAGACAGCTACTACTAAACTATAGCTAGGGCGGAAAGCAGGCGCCGCGTCCAACGTCGCCCGAGTGAGAGGAATACCCAACCGTCCTGACCGCCGTGGTCGTGATGCAAACGCATGTGCTGGACAACCCCCAGTCACCAACCCTCGCCGGGGCAGTTCGAAACAAAGATGCTACATGCACCAAGGGGATATATAAATACTTTTAATCGTACACCGCGTCCACGTATGGCAACAAAGGAAATGGTACAAAACTAGAACGCAGAGCAGCGGTGATCGATATGCAGGTGTACTCCGTGGACCCACGCCAGTCTCCGCTGTCCAAGGCCAGAGACGGATGCAAAATACTAGAGAACAATGAGAAACCGAGACGGAGGCAGAGCATCTTGGTCGGTTGTCGTGATTGTCGTTAAACCAAACTCCAAAAGCAACACATGTGAGAGCAAGGCTAGTACTGTGTGTACCGCCTCTTTACGTCCCGTGTTTGGTCAAAGGATCGCATGTAGCTGTTGAGTTGGGTTGCTGCTTGCTGCGAGATGCCCGACTGGGTCTGGGAAGACTGCGAAGCTAGGGACGAGCGTGATGACGAGGGCGTGAGGCTGCGTTGTGGGGATTGCCTTGTTGCGGTTGGTGGTGCGAAGTAACTGCCATTTGCGGTTGGGTAGTAGTGGTACGGGCTCGAGGGTGGTACTTGTGAACTCGAGGCTCCTTTGTATGCCGAGAAGTTGATTGCAGGGGCGAGGTAGAAGCCGCTGTTGGATGATGACGACGACGAAGCGGATGATGACAGTTGCGAGGGCGCTTGTGCTGTGCTGCCAGCCTTCTCAAGGTCGGCTAACCGACACGATTGCGAGCAGTAGACACCGTTCTCGGCAATTTGACGATCGCAGGACAGGCAAAAGTCGTTGAAGCACTCCATTTGGGAAGCCATTGTGAAGGTAATGTGGTGGTGTAGAGCAGTAGTGGTAGAGGAGGTGGTGGTGGTGGTGGTGATGGTGATGGTGTATATAGCCGCCGACAAGATGATATCGGAGGGGTAGTAGTGTTGGTGGGTGGTAGTTGGACTGAAGAGGGACGAAGGGGGTCTTATGAAGATCTCTCAGGTAGGAGTCATGAGGTAGTTATGAGTTCGTGAGCGGAGGGACCGTGTGGAGCTACGGGAGGATGATGGGGCACACATAGTATACTTAAGTCGCGCTCAGGCACTACGGCTGACAGGGATGGGGGGCAGGGTCCACGCCGTAGTCTCCGCATGGCTGACCATGCACTGAGATGCAGCCAAGGGAATTGAATTTCGAACAAGCGCTGTAAGCCCGCACCCCTCACCACCACCACACTAATCCGGCTCTAGCTCGTCCACTGTGCGTTCCGGCGAACAGGTGCAGAGCGGGCGCCTGTCCATTCGCTCCATGCGCCTACCCTACCCAGCAGGCTGCGTTTTGGCCACCGGGGTGCTGTGCTGCCAGCATGCCCTCGCCCTCTGCCCTCGCCATTCGCTCGTCCAGAGAGATTTTCACCCTCTTGCAGCGAACGACTTCGCGGCACGTTTGTCGATGCTGCAGCCAGCAGAGCGTAGAATTTTCGGCCGCGGGGGGCAGTCGTAGCCCATTTGCGTAGTGATGGGCGCTCTATCTGGTGACACCACCGTCCGAGAGTTGCGTGATAGCAGCGCGACGCGACAACGTCCCTCCATGACGAATTCCCTCGCTAGTCATCTGCGCGGCCCTGCGCCGGACGGGCAGATGACTGACGTGCAAATCTAGGTACAAGGCTTCCTATTCCAGTTTGATGGCGCAAAGAAGCGGAATAGCAGTTATCGGTTTCAGCAGTCATGAGCACCCTCCCACGCAACCCTGCTCGTCTCCTCTCTCTCCAATCCCATGCTGCTATCCGTCCAGTTCCACCTTTCAATAACCGAACGAACCGCTTGCCCCAGCGTTAGGCCCGGTTTTCGCTATCTTCGGTGATAACGGACTGCTCTGCAGAGGCATCATTTTGCACGCGCTAGCATTCTGTCTCACTCTCAGCCCTGCAGCTAAGTCAATTCCATACTCTTACGCCAGCCGTCTTCCGTAAGCCGACTATCTGCACACACTGAATGCTGAGCGATGATATTGAGCCTCGTAGCGAGTGTCTGTAATGCAAGCACACCACTCTCGATCACGCAATCCACTCTGTCCAGCTCTCCTGGTTTAAATTCTGTCGATAACGTCTAGAGACACATACTTGATCACAGATGGCAACTCTGCAAGACGTTATCTTTCGCATCCAACGCGCTGTCTTCCACTTGCGGGATTCCGGCTCTGCGCTGCAGCGACGATCTTCAACACAGGATGCAGGACACACCATGCTCTGAACTGCCGCCTCCTGAACCTTTTCACAATTCCTCAACACATTTTTTCTTCTTCTATTTCCGCGCGGCTCTATGCGTTTTCCGGTGTCTAGACACGCGCCTGGAGGAACTCAGTGCTTCGCTTCTTGCTGAGCGCCTCAAGCCTCTTTTTCCCAAACAGTCAGGAGCAGACCGACCTGGACTCTTGGTCATGGCTTGCTGCCCCCATCGGGGGTCGGCGAGGGCGAAACAAGTATCGAACGGTGGTAAGAACGCATGTTCGCTTGTCCATCTAACTGTTCATGGCTTGCGCAATCTGTGCAGAGGAGCATTTTCCTCCAGTTCGAGTACTCTGCCTCCCAGCAAGCGAGATAAGACGCTCGGTTCAGGTGACTGCGTTCCTGCTAGAGCATACGTCCTGCAAGTGGCTCAAGGCTTCATGGAGGCCATGTCCAGACGGACGAATGATCGAGCCGCCCCCAGCTGCAAGTCACTTGGTCGGCGTGCTCCAACACGAACAGCCTGCATGACCTGACAAAGAGACAGCCCCCACGGTGCTTTTTCCAAGGTTCCTGTACGACATGGCCCTAAACAAGCCACCAAGCGAACCATCTGATGCGTACAGGCTATCTGCAGGAACGGTTTGGTCTTATCGCGAGATCCTCGCGGTTAACGAGGTCCTTTGATATTCAACTTCTATAGTCCGCCTCCTTTACCATGTCGCGCGATTCATGATAATGCAATCACGGGTGCAATCACAGCAGCGCGACCAATGCGATACCCAAAAACAGATGTGGCCCGTGAAAGATTATCTTCCCCACAAAAAATGCGGACACTTTCTAATTGCGAAAGATGGCGACATTGCCAGGGAGCGGGCCATGCGCTGTATCTCCAATGCTTTCGAAACGGCTGTCAGCCCCGATAAACAATACATCGGTACAAACAATCCTCAACAAATGTGCATCGATCATGCAGCCTCTATGTAACAGCAACTCTGATCATCGATATAACACAACGTAATGCATCGAAGGCATCCAGACTTCATATATGCTAAAGTATGGCACCACTCGATTCCCTCAAGGCCATGCAGCGAATCGCTTACGCGCTCCACTGCAAGATGATGCAGGACGCGGGCTGTTCAATATTCGTGCGTCTCACGTCCCTCATCATTACCAACATCTGCGCCACTATGGGGGGCTTCAGGATGTAGAGCCCCAGGTCACTCGAGGAACCTTGCAGAGTGCGAACTGCACCTTCAAGCAGGCAACGTGTCCCAAGTAGCAGACGAATACATGCTGTATAACTCGAAAACAGGCGCCAGCAATCTATCGTGAACGCGGCACGGAGCGCCAACCGTCTCAAGAGACAACAAAGAGCAGCCTCGCCTCTTTACTCGCTTGAACCTGGTGGTTATCTCCCGAGTTTGGCACTCTCCCGAGACATCGGCCCGTTTTTGCTGGCGGGTGGACTGCGAGTGGGCTTTCCCAATAACTGTGTTTCCCGTTGATTTCCCGTCGCCGGTACTGTAAGGGCCTCCCTTCGCGGGAGAAGCTCTGCGGGAGGAGTCGGAGAGGCGCCGTCAAAGCTACCAAACTTTCCATGTGTCTGGTGATACTCGACACTTGCGCTTACCAAGAAGCTCGTTCTTTCTAAGTTGTAAACTAGCTTCAGAGGTATGCACTATCTCCTATCTTGTTAGCACGGTAGCCATGAACACAGTAAATGCCACTAGGGTACAATTCCCGTAGGTATAAACAGGGAAAAGCGAGCTTCAGTCGCCTCACCAAGTTTTGGGTCGGACCGTCAGATCTCCGAGTATCTCAAATCAAGCGGAACCGAACTAGTCGCATGACTCGAACGCCGTCATGTATCTCGTTCACAATCAGCCACGAATGACTCTTGCGTAATCTGCGCCCCTGTGGAAGACTCAAGGCATCTCAGTGACATTGTGGTGTTGTTGACATCGTCGAGCTTCATATTTTGCAGCGATAGTACTGCGCACACAACGCGCGTTGAGCGCTCCTCTAGTCTCGCTTACTATGCACTTGCTAGTAGCTTGCCAAATACTTAATCACCTCATCTAAACTAATACTCTGCATTAACCATCAACAGAGAGCGACAATACGCCGTACATCACGCAATCGTAACCTAAAATCACACGGTATCTGCCATGGCCTACTCCGCCGAACTTCGCCTCGCCTTGCGCGCCGTACACCGGGCGTCTCTGCTCACCAAATCCGTTCTCCGCAGTCTCTCCAACAACGTGTCTGCGGAGACCAAAGCAGACGACAGTCCCGTTACAATCGCGGATTTCGCCGCTCAAGCTCTCCTAATCTCCGCTTTGCATGCTGCCTACCCTACAGATGCGTTTTTGGGCGAGGAGAGCGCTGATGCATTGCGTCAGAACGAGGCACTGGCTGACCGCGTTTGGCAGCTTGTGCAACAGGCGAGGAGCGAGTTTCATGTAGGCGGCACCGAGAGTGGTAAAGGAGACGGAAACTCGGTACAGGTTGAGGAGCTGGCTTCTCCGAAGAGTAAAGAAGAGATGTTTGAGCTTATTGATCGGGGAGGTAAAGGAGAAATCACCAGAAGAGGCCGAGTATGGGTCATGGATCCCGTGGATGGCACAGCGACGTTCATGCAAGGCCAACAGTACGCCGTTTGCCTTTGCCTGCTCGTTGATGGCGTGCAACAAGTTGGAGTGATTGCTTGCCCCAACCTCGCATTTCCTATTCAAGAAACTCTCGGCCAAACTTCAATCCACGAAGATCGTGTCGACACGGATGGCTTTGGCGTAGTACTATCTGCCGTCAAAGGACAAGGCACCTTTATCCGCTCTATGAACGCTTCTGCTTCTGCGGGACTAGGAGAACCCCGGCACGTAGATTTGACCACTCTACCTCAAAAGAAGCCTTCCGAGCTAAATTTTGTCGAAGCAACACTAGGCAAAACATCGCTGTCGCAACCTGAGCACAACGCTGTTGCTACGTCACTTGGTGCCCAATGGCCAGGCACGATTCTTTGGTCTCAGCAAATGAAATACGTGGCTCTTACCCTTGGTGCTACAGATGTCATGGTGCGCATCCCTAAGACCCTGGACCGCTTTACTTATGTTTGGGATCACGCTGGTGGCCATCTCCTTTTCCAAGAAGCAGGCGGAGTTATTAGCGACTTCAAGGGTGAACAAATTGACTTTGCAAACGGACGGAAGATCAAGGGAGAGCGGAACTGGGGTATGATTGCCTGTATGCCTGGATTGTTTGAAGAGGTTGGAAAGGCGGTAATGGAGGTACTGAAAAAGAGAGATAGCTAAGCGAACGAAGTGTGGGGCGACGACTTCGACGTCGACATGCTGGTTGCGTAGTTATTCGGACATTATCATATCATGTCCGCAGCATATCGGCGCGATCATGTCGGCCGGCATATCATTCGGGAAGAACATGATAACCCGGCCTGACGTCGAACAGGAAACCTTGATCGCGTAGTGTAATGATACACAAAAGACTCAAGCAGCCTCACCGGACAGTAACACACCATGGGTTCATAGAAAGGTGGGGTAAAGCACAAAGACCACCCCCCCC